GGATAGGTTCTACATTAATTGGCTGACTAGGGAAATTTTGCCTGTTTGTTGCATAATTTTGAAAACGTGTATTTAATTGTTGATTATGTGCGTACAAAATTTTGGAATCTATTTTGATTAAAATTGTGATTTTGATTAAAATTTTGATTTTGATTAAAATTTGTATTATTTTTTGAAAAAGTTTGTCTGTTATTATTAGAATAAAATCCATTTTGTTGAAGATTTCTGTCATTTATGTTTCTGTATAAATCTTGGAAATTATTAAATTCTTTTACGTACGCCATAGCATCCTCTAAAGAATCTGGTTTTTTAAGGTGCATATTATTTTTTAGAATTCCACTACAACCAGCTATAAAAGTATTTAAGGCTGTCTTATTATAATGGTTAATTTGACAAATTTTATCATTTTGATCAATGTAAAGATCATTGCTTATTCTCTGTACTACGCTACTTTTAATTAATTGTAATCTACTACCAAAATCAATAAGGTGTTCACCTTTAAGAGGTTTAGTCCTTGTTAGTTCTTGGACGAGACAATCAAGATCACGTCGATCTGCAAAAGCTTGTAATAAAGCATCTTTTAATTTTGGCCAAGTGTCGATTTCTACTCTATTGCCTACCATAAATTCGGCACGACCTTCTAATTTTTCTTGTACACATTCAAATGCATGTATGTTTAATTCTACATCATTATAAATCTTATAAGAATCAATAAACTTCTCACATCTAGTAATAAACTTATTTAAATAATCACTTTCACCATTAAAAGGTTTGATATTATTTAGTTTAGATTTGAAAAGGTCCCAATTAATTTGGGCCCGTTGAGGGGTAGAATTACTTGGCGTCATATTTCTTATATCTGAATTACTTTCACTAATTGAGATATTACTAAAAGCTCCGACTAAAGTATCAAAATCGTTCATCAAAAATTAAAACATATGCGTGTATATAAAAAATTAATATTCAACTTAAATTATCTTTCCGAAACCTATGAATGGTGGGAAAGGCGAAAAAAGGAAAATTTGGCACTTACGTTTGCAGAAGAAACTGGCTTCCAAAATCCTCTTCTCCGATTCTTCGCTTACTTTGGGATGTCCACTGAAGGGCTGATAGTTGGTTTTCCACAGATGGGAACCGTTGGTTAGAATTCGCGCTTAAAACGTTAACACGTTAAAACCGTGAAAGTCTGCACGATAGTGACTAAAAGTCCAAGTCTATCACTCGAAGAAAACGATTTTCTCGAATTTACACAGTGTTCACAGCTCGCACGAATCCTACTGACTGCGCCAGTTTTAATTTTCTTTATAGAAAATTATTTTTTAAAAAATTAAGAACTACTTTTAATATGTCTTTATTGATCAAAGTCAAGCTAAAGAATAATGTATATATTTACATTTAATCCACACCTATGTTTATCTCTAGGAAAATTTATAAAAGTATGATAAGATAAAAGTTATTTACAGGAAGTATTTATTGTCTATATAGCAGTTTTAGCAACACGTAACTTACCTATTATTTTTCATTAGTTTTTTTTGTTTCCGTACGTTAAGTATATGTATATTAAAAATGTTATTATTTGTTTTTATTCTTTGTTTACTTTCTAATTTGGGTAGAAAAAACTTTATTTTTCGTTTCTTATATACTTGTTTTTTATTTACTACACTACAAATTATAATTATTTCCCCCTGTATTAAAATCTACTGTTCAGAACTACGGTTTTTTGTACCCATACTGTTCCAGAATTTGGCAACACTGCCATGATCGAAAGAAATTTCCAACCTAATCACCTCCAAATACAAGCGATGCCTGAGGACAGTGACCTTGAGTGCGACACGCAGAAAACGTGTAGTCAAAAAGTGTCGTCTTGACGACACTTCTCGTGTCGGGTCGTGCGAAATGTGTTTCATATAATTGTATGTATTTTAGACGTGAAGAGACACTTCTCGGTCGCGTCTGTTGTCGTCTGTCGCGTCGGCGGTCGTCTGTCGCGCCTACCGAAATAGTACCTTAAAAGGCACGAATACCTAGTTTTTTGATCAAATCGTACTAATATTTTTAAAAATAATTACAATAAATATATAAGAACTAAACAAATAAAAACTGTGAATAATATACACGGTGTAACAAAAAAGTTTCTGGGGTCGAAAAAAATCAATTTCATTAGAAATCTTCTAGAAGTCTTCTACCGTATTGATTTGTGTCAGTATTCCTGCAACCCCTTACGATTACAAGAAGTAACTTTTGAACAATGACTAGATTTTCTGTTGAGGCAGACTGAGTTTGAAGTCTAACTTGTTTACATAAAAAATGGATAGTAAAAAAGTTACAGGGTGTTATAGTAGAAATTTTAGAAGTGATTTTATGCTCGTATTCTAAAACAACTTTACATATTTTAATGAAAATTTACAAGGGATGTAAGTATACAGTAACCAATAAAATGAAGTTAGTGTCGTTTAAAATTGTTTTATTTTTGTAGGTTTTAAGAATGGTTTGGCACCCATTTAGCCCTTTTTTAGACATTCAAATTCAGTTTCAAACAGGACGTCACTGAAATCTTACATTTGTATTGAAATTTGTCCCTGAAAGCCTTAATTATTGAGTTATAGACCACAGAAAGAACGTCGTAGTGAAAAATACAGTGAAATTCCCTTGATCTTAAACTACTTCTTTTAATATTTTATAACTTCATGGATGAGGATGATCTATAATATTAGTGGTTTGAGGTTAATAGAAGAATTTCAATAGTATTTTTTACAATAACCTTCCTTCTGGGCCCTATAAGTTAGTAATTAAGCCTTTTACAAACGATTATTAAGAGACAAAAAAATTCAAAACAGATGTAGGTTTTCAGTGGCGTCCTGTTTTTAACTGAATTTTATTCTACAAAGAATATTGAAGTCAAGTGTTGCGAAACCATTCTAAAAATCTATAGAAATAGAACAATTTTAAATGCCAGTAAGTCCATTTTATTGGTCACTGTTTACTAACATCCCATGTACATTTTCATAAAAATATGTTAAGTATTTAAGAATTTGAGCACAAAATCACTTCTAAAATTTAATATCCATTTTTTATGAAAGCTTAAATTCAGAAACTGTGGTCAAATTTACTGTATATATTTTTGTTACACACTGTATAAAATAAAAAACTTGGTATATTAGACAAACGACAAAAAAGTACCGGCTGCAAGAAAAATTCCTGACCGCGATCGGATATCTTTCAACTTTCATATAAAATCAGAGTCGGCCTTTTCCTGGGGGGCTAGCGACGTCGGAGGGGGGGGGGGGGCTAGCGACGTCGGAGGGGGGGGGGGCTTGCCTCCCCTAGGTCCCCTCTAGTTACGCGCCTGCTTATAGACCAGTAAGCAGGAGAAAAATTTAACAATAATTCTAGCATTTTTTAAACTTCATGGTAAGATGAATTAACTAACCAACCGATTTTATGTAACTCGATACAGGGTCAGCAAGATTGGTAAAATGGCAAAAAAGCTAAATACATGAATTGGGGGATGATCAAAAATGTAACATAGCTGCAAATTTGATATCATTTTCAATTCAATATTTAAGATCTGGAGCTAAATTTGCAACCACTTATGACTTCTTCAAGTAATTAACATTATTTGACCTCATGTAGCAAACAAAATATTTACTTGCATGCAAAGTATACTCGCTAATATTGATTTAAATTAATGTTAAAATTTGCAACCTCTCCGATGATGCATTTTGAATTTTTTGTCATTTTCAAGGATTTTTTAAATTAAGTGTAAAGGTTAAAGAAAAGGTCCTTTATTTCTCACAAGTCAATTTATTGGCGACCGGTTTCGAAGTTGTCACTTCATCATCAGGCACACCTAAATGGAATGTCAAGGAGTCAGTTGTAATAAAAACAATTATAAAAGCATGAACAACCTTAAACATATACAAAATAACAGAAAAAACACAAAAGAAAGTTAAACAATAACCTTGACTCACCTTGACTAATTCCATAAAGGAAGCGCTACAAAAAGTTTAACAGAACGAGTTAAAAAAGTCATGTGTAATAAGTATTTTTTACTGCATTGATTCGTTAAAAAATCTAGATAGATGTCTTGACAGTCTGATAATTTTTACTTTTTTACTTTTTTTACTTTTTACTTTCAGTAATTAACATTATTTCCTTAAAAATTTTTAAACTGTTTGTGCTTGTAAAACTATTTTGTGTTGTTTAGTTAATAATTGTCTTAAATGTGTTTTAATTAATTATTTTATTCAAAAAGACATCTGGTGGTTTAACCTAACCTACATTAAATTTTTTTTTAAAAAATACTTATTACACATGACTTTTTTAACTCGTTCTGTTAAACTTTTTGTAGCGCTTCCTTTATGGAATTAGTCAAGGTGAGTCAAGGTTATTGTTTAACTTTCTTTTGTGTTTTTTCTATTATTTTGTATATGTTAAAGTCCGTTCATGCTTTTATAATTGTTTTTATTACAACTGACTCCTTGACATTCCATTTAGGTGTGCCTGATGATGAAGTGACAACTTCGAAACCGGTCGCCAATAAATTGACTTGTGAGAAATAAAGGACCTTTTCTTTAACCTTTACACTTAATCCCTACTACTCACATATGGCTACCCTCACTCCAAGATTTTTTAAATTATCTAAAAATGGTTCAGAAAAATTGTAACATGCAAATATTGATCGAAAATTACCGTATTCGTAAGTTAAACAAGCTATTCATTTTGCAATAGTCCGCTAAATCTGCAAACGGACGAAATTAGCAATAATAAATTTGGAGCTGTTACATTAAATACAGCAATCCAATAATTACATTTTTGGCCATTTTAACAATGTTGCCAACCATGCATCGAGTTGCAAAATTGACTAGTTTCGATTCATTCGGTACACCATGCCTAAAAAATGTTAGAAATAATGTAAAATGTTTCGGTTTGTACGTCTCTATTTACTGACCTATTACTTGAACAAACATTTTTGTCTTAACCTATGCATACATTTTTAGGGAAATATTACTTACGAATGGGAGGAAAAAATGAATTGGATATCATGCTTCGCATGCTGCGATAATGGACTTTCGACAATGAGATGCACTTTACAGGAAAAAAACGCTTACGTTTCAGGCGAAGTGTTAAACATGTTTGTAGATGTCAAGAATATTAGTAAGACAAATATGCAACGATTGGACGTTACTTTAACAAGGGTTAGTAAATAGTTAATTTTTAATAAGACTTATTTATTTTTATTCTCAATAAAAAAAGGAGATATAGCTTTATCCTGCTGTTACCTTCCCAACATAGTCCTGATATGACCCAATCCACTGGCATTAAGACATTTAAAGCATATAAGACATTTAAGATTCATTAGTAATAAAACTAGTCGATTTATTTTAGATAACAACTTTCAAGGTTCATGGGGGAAACTGTGTAACACAAAAAAGATTTTTAGCATTCCAAACGTACGATGGAGTCAGCTCTAATACTCAACGTTCTTACTCCATTGATTATCGAATTCCACAATCCATTGTTCCCAACAATTTTTTCTGGTGTAAATTAATTGAAGAAGTTTTTAGACTAAGAGTAAGTTTTTAACTTTAGGTAGTGGCATAAAACTGCGTTTTAATAGTAAGATATATAACTAGCAGGCTTCATATCAATATCCAATTAATAATCACGACAAAAACTGAAGATAATGCATATTTTGGATGAGACGTAAACCTGTTCAGCAAAAAAAACTGGTTAGAGTTAGTGTAACAATTAGTTTAGGGATCGTTGTTGTCATCAAATGTAACAACCAACTAGCCCGAAAACCCATTAGTAACAACTTATTCGTCTTTAACTACTGTTTAAATATCATTAAGGGATTAAGGCAGCACTGTTACCAGCCAAAGGGTCCTGAAGTCCCGAAGGAACATCCACCCACCAGTGGTAAAAAAATTAAAAAAGAAATTAAATTATCCCTTAATAGCATAGTCAAGTGGCTTTGGCAGCTAGTTATAGACTCTTAGGGGTAGAAACGCTATTGCTTCACAAATGCTCGGAATATTTAATAACTGGTTTTGGGATGGGAAGGAGAGAATAGTAATAAAAGTGAATAAGTAGTAACATAATAATATGTATATTTAAAGTAATTACAGAATAAATATTTAATTTATATTTAAGAAATAAATAAATATAATATACATAAAACGGGACTAAAATTTAAAAATTGGCATTTATATGAAAAATCAATAAATTAATTGTCTCTAAACAAAACCCAAACATCATGTTAAAGTAATTTAAAAATATTTACCTCTAGTACACAAATCTACAGAAAACTTTACTTTACACCTTAAGGTGGTTTGGGACCTAGGGTCCCGAAGACCCCGTGAATACTGGAGAGCCTAGTGGCCAGAGTTTAGGACCGCAGTCCTTACTCGAGTTTCCTACTCAAGTATGGTTGCCAACTCTCGACAGTCTATTTAAAACCCAAAATTTACGTGACAATTTAACTATTTAAAATGTCATCGTACTACCTTGGACAATTCTCTAGTTCAATGTAAGCAATTGACTAGAGCAATAACCTAATTGTTTGGTTTATTTTAATACGTGTGTTTTCTTTTTGAATACTTAGTTAAAACATTAAAAATTCATTTTTATAATTTTTGTGTAATTCTTTATATTTTACTAATAATAATAATGCCAATTATTACATTAGCTTGCTTTAGCGTCTGTATCTAAATATCGTTGTTACAAATAGGTCAAAACTAAATTTAAAAAATTGATAAATATAAAAAACAAAATAAAGAATTTATCTATTTTGCAGGTGGTGGGTGTATATCCTTCTTGTTATGACGATTTAATTGTGGATTTCTATCTCGTTATAGGACAGATTCCTCTGAATAATTTAGCAGAGGGTAAGTTCAAACTCTATTTTAACATTTTCCTAGGCATAGAACGTAGACGAACTTCTATGTAGATTAACTGACCTAGGCATACCCTGTCAAGGTTATACCGACGACATAGTCATATTTGCTAGACGCAAGTTAAGAAATATCCTGTGTGACGCCTAGAATATACCAAAAGATGTTGCCGTGAAGTGGGTCTTACTATGAACTCTACAAAAACAACACTAGTAGCCTTTTCGAGGAAAATAAAACTTAGAATGGAAAAATAAAGTCAAATATCTAGGCCTAACCCTGGACAACAAACTTCTCTGGAACACACATGAGAAGGAAGTAGTAAATAAGGCCATAAAAGCCCTAATGGTATGCAGAAACATTGCGGGTAAACGATGGGAATGTAACCCGAAGACACTGCGATAGATGTATACTCAGGGCCGCCAAGAGCCAGGTGGGGCCCCGGGACAATTTTCCAGGTGGGGACCCGCGACAATTTTATAAAAAAATTAAGCCCTTTCAATATCATATTTATAAGAAAGTCCTCAAACAAAAGCTTAGATTATTTTTAATGAAATCTCTAAAAAAAATGTATTTAGCTTGTATTTTACATAAACCAGCGCTCCTTCCTTTTGTGGCGAACTTCTAAAAAAATAAAACGTCCTTACCTAAAGCTGCCGGGCCCCCACTTGAGCCCGAGCTCCGGGAATTTGTCCTGGTTACCCTCCTCTCATCGGCCCTGTGTATACTGTAATGTTAGACTAATCATCACTTACGAGGCTATAGCCTGGAGTAACAGAACTAGTTACTACGAGAGCTAATATCTCAAAAAAAAACTAGCCTGGGTTTGCATCACCGGTGCAATGAGAACCTGTCCTATGGCCGCAATGGAGGTGATCTTAAACCCCACCCCTCTACGTTTAATGATAGAGAATGTAGCAAAAAGGACACGATATAGAATGATCAGGAACGGAGTAATCAGACAAAATTCTACTTGTTTCAGGACCAAAGATACCTGAGATATGACCTAGGATGAAATGATAAAGAAGTACAGTTTTGTGAAAAACTTCAAAACCACAGAGCTGGGCTGCAAGAATGAATGGAGCCAAGAATCCATCGCGCTTACAACCGAAAGGTATACGGATGGTTCCAAAACCATAGAAGAAACTTGAATAGGAGTGTATGGGCCTAGAACCAAGCACTCCGAAAACTTGGAAAAATACCCAAGCATCTTCCAGGCGGAAATTCATGCCATCGAGAAGCGTATCCAGTTTAACATCGAGAGAAACTATCGTAGACTATCATCATGTCCGATAGCCAAGCAGCCATCAAAGCGCTGAGCTCAAAAATGGTTTGGAGATGTCTAGAAAAATTAAATGAGCTACGCGAGAAAAATAGAGTTACTCTTACTTGGGTTTCGGGACATAACGGGGTATAGAGTACCGGGATTGCAGATAGTCTCGCAAGGAAAGGGGCTCAAACGCCTTTTGTGGGAACTGAGCCGTTCTGCGGGCAGTAGAAGAACCGATAATTGGAACAATCTCTTGAGGCTGAGACAGGCTAAGATACTTCTGGGTGAATATAACCAGAAAAGATCGGAAGCCTGTCTCTATGTCAGCAAGAACAGGCTACGTACTATAACAGGGATCATTACTGGACATTGCCGACTAAATGGACACCTTAGGAAACTGAGAGTAGTAGAGTGAGTGCAGATTCTGTGAGGAGGAGGACGAAACCTCCATTCACATTCTAACTGAATGCGTAGAACTCAAGAATCCAAGGATACCTAGGAGCATATAAAATAGAAGAGGAAGATTTACCTAACTTGAAGCCACTCTAAATCCTACACTTCCTTGAGAAGATAGGATTGGAAGGTTCGTTATAGGCATTTATACATTTCCTTGCTGCATTAGCGACAGAAGGGGACACAATGGATCTTTTAGGTCGCAGTGTATTAACACCCCATTCCCAACATAACATAACATACCATTTTAGTTCGAAATTATTTACTTAAATTAATTTCAGATGAAGAAACAACACGGACGAATTAACTAGTTACTCAAGATTAAAAGAGCAAATGGATGTTCTCTAGACATCTTCTATAATATTAATATATTAACTAAAATAAAGTGATAAAAAACCCAAAGTACCTAGGCCTTTAAAAAAATTACGTTGTTGGAGATCACAATTATTTTTCTTTGGCCTACTTTAGGAATCCTTTTTTTTGTAAATCATATATTAATATATAATAATATTGCACAATAAATGTTCGATATTTATATTTTCATGCTAGTTATTGTTCTACAGTGTTTTAAAACAAAAAAGGTGCTATTTCTTCCATTTGTTAAATTTTGTTTGTACCACCAAAGGCAATGATAAAATTTGGTGTCAACTTAGGAAACCTGTTAAGAGTTTAAAAGTTTGTAGTAAAATATTTATTATTATAAGAGTTTTATTTGAATCCTACAATAACCACAAATCATGGAAAATATCCCCTACTACCTATATAATTTGTTGGTCCTAAAATAGCGCTGGAAAACAGTAACACAGCCTACATAGAACACACAATAATAAGAAATTGGGTAGATACCATGTAAGTCATATTATTAAAAATAAAGAAAAACCTTAGATAAAAGAGACCAGAGATATAACATACACCGGTGTTTAACCTGCGCAAATGTTGCCAATTTCTAAAGAAAGGTTAACGGAGTGGGGGAACTGGGCAGAAACCCGAACTCTGTGACAAGGACCGGACTTTGTTTATTAGCATCATAATGAACTATTAGAATTATTTAAAATATATATTTAATGGAATTTTGTATTATGAAATAAAATTAACGTGATTTTTTAATATCAAACAGATGCACGACATTTTATGTAAAAAGAAGACCTTTTATAGAATATTTCGTTAGCGTTTATTTACTACGGACTTTTCAGCAAGATACTACATTAAAATGTTGAAATAGAATATTGTTAATAGAGCAAAAAATGGTACTCATTGTCTACGAGTATTATAAAAAAGCATGTGCGCAGGCGAATACTGCAAATCAAACCTTTTGAGTCAAACATTATATTTTTTCTACGGCTATTACATAATATTAAAAATTAGTCAAAATGAGAAAATGCTGTATTGTATTGTAACCTTAGCTTCTTTCTTTAGGAATATTAATTATTATAGAGGATGGGTGATTGTCGAAATAAATTGAAAATAATCGATTATTTTCGATCAATCCATTGTTTTCAATCTATTCAAATAGACTATTTGATTATCTTTGAAAAATCAAAAATAATCGATTAATTAAAAAGCCAATTAACCGATAAATCAGTGTTTACATTCGATAATCTTTGAAAAATCGAAAATAATCGATTAATTAAAAAGTCGATTAACTGATAAATCGATTTTCAAAAACAAAACTGAATTGTCGATTATTTTAAATAATCGATTATTTTCGATCAATCGATTATTTTATTGTATTTCATTTAAAATCGATGATTTGATTATCATTGAAATACAGAAAATAATCGATTAGTTAAGAAGCCGATTCTACGATAAATCTATTTTCCAAAAAAATAACCGAATTATCGATTATTTTCTAATAATCCTTTTCATATTTCCTATTGATTATTCTATTATCTTTGAAAAATCTAAAATAATCGATAAAAATCAATAAATCGAAAATAATTAATAATTATTAAAAAACTGATTAACCGATAAATCGATATTTCTAAAAAATAACCGAAATATTGGTTATACAAAATAACGAATTATATTCAATCAATCAATTATTTTCATATAATACCTTTGAAAATTTGAAAATAATCGATTAATCGAAAATAATCGATTAATTGAAAATAATCGATTGATTAAAACACCGATTAAACGATAAATCGATTTTTCCAAAAAAAATCGATTATTTTCAATTAATCGATTATTTTGAATAAATCTACTTTCTTTTTGTATTTCCTTTAAAATCGATTATTACATTATCTTGAAATTTTAAGTTATTCATCCTGTATTTTATCTAATATTCTTATAAAAATACTACTAATCAACTATGCTTCTTTACTTCTTATTTATCTACCAAAAAGAGCTAAAAACCACCTTTATAATTATTCTTATAAAACTACTTTTTAAAAACAAAATTTCGTTAGCAACAATGTCTATTTACTTCTTATTTAAATTAAATATTTAAAATTTTACCGTTTTGTAAATTTATGTAAGTAATACGAAATCTGTTTTCTGAAATATGTATTTGATGAATATTTATTGAAATCCCTTAATGCGGATCTGATGTATTCAGCTCAAAGGATTATGGCGCTTTATGTCAAAACGTTAATAAATATTTACCGCTGAAAACGAATATATATTTTATATTTCATAACATTGGTACTTGTATTATAAGTATATACAATTTCTCAAGATACATCGTGGCATTTTGAACTTAAAATTGAATAACTAGAACACTTTAAATTGCTAAAACACCAACAAATAAATCAAAAAACAGCTGTCAATGGTGATTAAACTCAGGCGGAGGTGAGCGTTCAATGGGAAATCGGAGCAATTCGGGTGGCGTCGTGCAAACAATGATTTTCAATTGGTGAGTTACTTGGAGTTAAAACAGACAACATGCGCAGTGTGCAATGTTACATCTTCGGTCTCTTTTATCTAAGAGAAAAACTAATTATGGCAATTTTTTTTAGTGGGTCGTAGAAAAATATACTGTACGACTCTTGTATGTTGTCCGTATCGCACGCAGATGATTTTGTACTTTAACTCAAAACATAAACAAAACTTCATAAGGCACTTTCGGAAACTTACTATATAGATAACAAATCCAGATTACTGGGTTTACTCGATGGATTACGTGGATTCATGGAGGTAGAAGGTAGGGAGACGCTGTCACGTCGTCCAAAACGGGTTCACTTCCACCATATTGCGTTGACGAATCCTTCAAACAGCTAATCCTGGTTTCAATCAACGTTTTTTGTATTTTTATTTCATTTGTAAACTAAACATTTTGTACATATTAAAAGTTAAAGATTGGTTGCTTGTGCTCAACGTATTTTTAGCAATAGAAATTTATATGAAAAAATTATCTGAAATAACATTCCACAACTAAATGTACAACATAGTAAACAATGTGCAGGGCCGTATTTGAGATATTAATTGTGCTTTGTGGGAAAGTGTTGTAACCATAGTATGGTTTTGTAAAGATTAATTAAAAATGAGAGAATTTGCTGCAATTGGTGCAAAAATTAGATTTAAAATAATCATAAATATTTTCTTTATCTTAAATTCTAGAAATTTACTTCAGCTTCATTATAAAAGCAAAAAAATTATGAAGGTATAGAAACTTTTTTAAATGACATGGATAAATATATTAGTGCCTTAAAAACACGTAATTTACAAAACCGATTCACAGTTACAGTTTTAACCAATATGCCAAATATCTCAAGACCATTCTATTCGCTTACATGGAGGCCAAAACAATAACACCACCTCCCATCGATTTCCGGGGGGCTATTTTCAAACTCGAGAGAATGTGATTTCTCTCAAGATTTTCATGAGAAGTGTCATACGTCATCGTAAAAACAGTATTTTTAAACCCAGTGAAAACTCGCAGACTATTTCTTTTGGTTTATTTCGAGAGGATTAAAATTCTCCCACGAATTTTGATTCTCATTGGCTTTAAAAATACTGTTTTCACGTTGACATATGACATTTCACATGAAAATCTTGAGAGAAATGAGTACTTTTAAGTTTGAAAATAAGTCCGTAACTTATAAAAAATATTAGTAGGTACATGTTGAAGTTTTCGTGGAAATTGTATTCCTCTAGAAAGAATTGAATTTTAAAATGTCCTTCCTATTCGTCAAACCAACGAATCGTCAATAGACTATAGAACTAGCCAGAGAGTTACGATAGTGTGCTAGACGTAACGGAGCATGATCAAATTATTCACTAAATCCCACGCAAAGGGGTGACCCTTCTACACATTTCAGTGTTGATGAAAAAAATCTCAAAAAATTATTAGTCGAAAAAAAATGGTAAAAATATTTCATAAAAAAATTAATAAATTTTGAGATAACAAAAAATTTCAGTATTGATGAAAAAAATCTCAAAAAATGTTCAAAGGGGGATCCTTCTACACATTTCAGTGTTGATAAAAAAAAATCTCAAAAAATTAAAAGTCGAAATCTTTCTCAAAATTTAAAAGTCGAAAAAAAAATGGTAAAAATATTTGATAAAAAAATTAATAAATTTTGAGATAAAAAATGTTCAAAGGGAGGATCCTTCTACACATTTCAGTGTTGATGAAAAAATCTCAAAAATTAAAAGTCGAAAATTTTCTCAAAATTTAAAAGTCGAAAAAAAAATGGTAAAAATATTTGATAAAAAAATTAATAAATATGTACTCATTATATCTTGTTTTTAAGCTGTCAATGGATGCCATTAGACTGTCTCTGAGGATGTCTAGAAAATATATAATTTACGTGCTCCTATGTATTATTTTGCTATTAGTAGAAAAAACGAAATTTAAAAACAAAAGATTGATGTTCAAAAGAAAATTTTAGAACTTAAAAATTGTGCTAGTGTTTTCTCATCATCTCATTCATCTCGCCATACTAGTCGCACAAATTGTTTCTATGGCGGAGAAGAAATAAAGAAGTGGATAGAAGATGGAAAAAATATATCTGAAATTGTATATAAAGATCAACCTCCTAATTGTTGTTAAGAGGTTCCTAACAGAGATAACTTTTTCAATTATCAGCTAACTAATGATAATTAAAATAACTCTCTTTCTGTTCAAATTGATAAAAACACCGACCATAATCTACTTTTAAATATTGCAAAGCAGTGTGTTGAGAATACGGCAAACAAACAAATTTCTATTTGGTCAAAGGTTGAGAGATTTGGCGCATTTTTCTGGAGAACTAAGTGAATGGCCACTCTTTATTAGTGAATTCCGTAGAACTACAGATGCTTATAGTATATCCGATGCAGAAAATCTAATTAGATTAGATAGAGCTCTTCGGGGAAACGCTAGACAAACAGTTCGAGCTTTATTGACTTCCCCCAATAATGTTCTCAAAATCATCACAATGCTGGAAATGAATTTTGGAAGGACCGAATGGATAATTTTGTCACTAAAAGTAAGAAAATTTGCGCCAGTGAAGGAAGATCGATTAGAAACCTTCATATCTTTATCTAATGCAGTAAATAATATGGTTCCTCCCATTTAAATAATCCAGAATTTATATCCACACTCTTGGAAAAATTTCCTGTAATTCAAAAATATAATTGGGCAAAGTATAGACGGCAACTGGAACTTCAGAATCTTTAGATTACCCTAAAAGACTTTGCAATTTTGCTGGAAGAAGAAGCTGACCTTATGTCTTGCATTAAAATCCTTTCGACAGAAAT